CTCTCTGTGTGTGTCAGAAATATTGGTTGAATGGATGCAGCTCAATCTAGGCAGCTGGACCTGTAGCTTAGCCGGCCTCAGTGTGAGAAGGCCTCAGAGTGAGAAAGCCTCAGTGTGAGAAGGCCTCAGTGTGACAGGAGCCCCAGGATGAAGGCCTCAGGTGTCAATCTACGGTGTCAGTTTGGTGTGAGAGGAGCCTCTGTGAGGGCAAAGCTGTTTATCTGCAAGAGGAAGGAGCCCAGGAAGAGCCTGTTAGGAAGGAAGGATGGAAGGGGAAGGCCTGGGAGTGTGGAAGGAAATGGAAACCCATAGAAAGGGTCCCAAGGCTGAGCCCTGCCCTCCTCAGAAAGAGGACAAGAGGACGTCTGTGTGGAGGGAAGAGGGAGGGTCCCTCGGGAGGGAAAGAGAGGGCAGGGCCCACCCCCAAATACTCCCCAGAGGAGGAGGAGGGAAGGCACCTTTCCCTTGAGGAATCTCAAACTGAACTGACACCGCTCTCCCCACTCTCTCACTAAGACCGTCCTCTGGCCACAAGCCATCCTCGGCTATGGAACATGTCTGAGGCCGGGCCAGGAAGGGGGATTTTTGGGCGGGGTGGACTCGGGAGGGGGTGGGCCCAGGAGAGAGAGAGAGCGGGGCAAGGAGGGGGCACAGTACGCCCCGGGGGGGGGGGACATCATGGGGTTATCTACGGGGGATGGGCCGGAGGTGCCACTGCCTTGGTCCTTTCACTGTTGGCTGCTGCTTCCCGGCGGAACTGCAAGTCACTTCTGGTGTGAGAGAATTGGCCATCTGCAAGAACGTGGCCCAGGAGACATCCGAACAACCCCATTCTGCCAAGAAGCAGGAAAATCGGATTCAAAGCACCCCCGACAGATGGCCATCCAGCCTGTTTAAAATGTTCTACCATCCTTGTGGGACTTGCAGTTTCTCAACTCGCTCCTGACACACACAAACATTTCCCAGCGGTGCAATACCGCCTAAACAGTAAAATTTCTCCAGCGGAGTGGGGCGTAGGCATCCTGTGATAATGTGGCCTGTCTCACTCAGAGCCACATCCACTGTTTTAACGTGGTGAGATGTGTCCCACACTGGGCATGCGTATTCAGCAGCAGAGTAGCCAAGCGCAAGGGCAGATGTCTCCACTGTGTCTGGTTGTGATCCCCAGGTTGTGAGTGCCTCTTACTCTAGAGCAGAAACAGCAGGTGGCAAGTAAGAGGAACGGAAGCGCACGCCGGGGTGGGGAGCCTGTGGGTGGGGAGCCCCCTCCTCTCTAGAATGGCCCGCTTTCCAGCGCAGAGTCCTGGTCACAGTGTCATAGCCTCTGGCCTTGTAAAGGAGCTCATCTCTTGGAAGCAACACTCTTGAGGTCTGACTTGGGGGTTGTATTCTTGATTTATTTGCTGCTTATAACTATGTACACGTCTTCTTTTAATATATAAAGACACTCTCAAACAGAGTAAGGTCACACAACAAGGATGGGGGTGGATTGCATATGCAGACAACAATGGCAAGGCCTCTGCAAAATACAACAAACAAACGACACATACATATATGTCAGCTCCACTGGCTGCCGATCGAATTCTGAGCACAAATCCAACTGCTGGTCTTGACCTATAAAACCCTATACGGCTCCGGTCCAGCGTACCTGTCCGAACGTATCTCCTTCTACGTCCCACCTCGGAGTTTAAGATCTTCTGGGGAGGCCCTGCTCTCGGCCCCGCCTCTGTCTCAAACACGTTTGATGGGGACAAGGGACAGGGCCTTCTTGGTGGTGGCCCCCTGCCTGTGGAATTCACTTCCCGGGGAAATTCCGTCATCATCATCCCTCAACTTTAGAAAGAAGGTAAAAACGTGGATGTGGGACCAGGTCTTTGGGCAATTAGGTTAAAAGGACAATTGACAATGTTGACTATGGCTTGGAAGTGGATTATGGGTATGTTAAACGGAGTACTCAGTCATAGTATATGGCTAGATAAATGGCCACCAGACTGGTAATAGCTCAGTGGACTGTAAGTATACTGTTTTCATCTTTATGTCTTAATGTTTATGCTTTTAACTGTTATAATTGCCGTTTTGTATTTTATTATGCGGCATCAAATTGTTGCCAATTGGAAGCCGCCCTGAGTCCCCCCCCCCCCCAATGGGTTGAGAAGGGCGGGGTAAAAGTGTTCCAAATAAACAAATACATAACCAGGGCAACGAGGAGACTAAAGTCGTGGTGGTGCGTGGAGCCGAGGTTTGACGTTTAAAATGTTTTTACTGGAGGCACTTTTTTACAAAAAGGAGGAACTCATGATGACCCCAACCAGAATCCTTTCTTCCAATATCTTCAGCCGCCTTCTTCTGA